AAGATATGCAACGGCCTGTTCTTTGACTTGAGTGACTGTGAACTACTGTGTGCCTGGCTGCCATGTACCTATCAGGGAATGTAATCTGGACTCAAAACAGCCAGCCTGGTCTTGGGGGTATGTACCAGAGCTCTTCCTGTTGTAAATGGTGAAGGGTCCTCCAATTACAGATGCAGATGTTGGGGTGGACCTCTTCAGATAGATTGCTGGCCTCTCATTTCCCTTTATGGGAGGGGAGGGGGGGGGTTTGCCATTTGCAGGACATGCAAAATATCACAATAGTGTGTCTCCTAGGGGCAGGTCCAAGCTGTTCATGTGCACATGTGCACGGCATTATTTCCCATCTCCAGATGAGTTTACTAGCAGCCACTTCAGGCCATTAAAACTGCATGCTTGAACAGTCTATTTCTTTAGTTGAGCTCAGCTAGAGATGGAAACCCAATTTGGCACACAATTTGAACTGTCCACAGCAGCTGCTAGGGGCACATTATTATTATTATTATTGTATAGGATTTATATAGCGCCAACAGTTTGCTCAGCACTTTACAATATAACGGGAGACAATACAGCAACAATACAGTTCAATACAAGAGGGTTAGGAGCAGGGGTAGACTGACAACTCATGGGGCCCCCAGGCAATAAGAGATCATGGGGCCCCTGTGTCCTCGCTCACACTCAAACCACACCCAAAAAAGCCTATGAAAGGTACCAGGGGCATCTCATGGGCCCCCTAATGACCCCGGGCCCTCGGGCAGTGCCGAGTGCTCAAATGGTCAGTCCGCCCCTGGTTAGGAGAGCCTTGCTCCTTGGAGCTTTCATTCTAAGAGTCATTGTGATATTTAGCCCATTCTGCAAACAGCAGGGCTTAGGGGAATGAGGGTCCTGTGAGTTTTCTGGAGAGGGCCCCTTAATACCTGCATCTGTAATGGGAAGACCATCACCATTTACAACAGGTATAGCTAGTATGTACTAATGGTATGTACTAATTAATGAATATAGAACTGCAAAGGGGGATTTTTGGAAAATCTTATTGAAGGTGAACATACATTTTAAGGGACAGTTCAGTGCACTTTTTTTCTGCTTAAAAAAATGCATGCACAGTGTTATCCATGTATTCCAATGGCCCTGGTTCACACTAGTGTAGTCAGTTTCCGTTGTAGAAAAAAAGGTAGAACATGCTGCTTTTTGTCTGCACAGAACCATATTGGAACATGGCAAACTGCATCAAAACTGCACCAGAACTGTGTGTGGTGTGAACTGTAAGCAAAAACGTATCCAGAATGCAATAGTGTGAACTGGCCCTAAAAGTTTATCTAACGCTATTGGACAGTGTTTGGAAAGGTTTAAACCTCTATCAGATTTATATTACTGTCTGTGTTGGGGTGAGTCTCCCTCTCCATTTTCTCCTGGTGACCACTGTCACCAAGAAAGAAAATGATAGAAATTTCAAAATTTTACAGTTGTCACCAGAACAGGTTAAATCTTTTACTGTGTACACTTTTTCTGGTGATGGCTGTCTAAGAGGTGAAGTCACTTTCTTGTTCCTTCCTGTGGTGTTTCGGAACAGGCAATAAAAGGAATCATCACAGTGGGACTATAACAAAAAAAAAAAATCTGAAAGGGGTTTTAATTATTCTCCCAAAACAAACTGGCTTTAGATAGATGTTAAATTATTTTTTGACATGCCTTCCACATTTTTTCAAGCTTGTTCTTCTATAGTTTCTTATTCCATTAAAGCATATCTAAACCCATGTAGTGCCCTCCCAGTAGAGCTGTTAGGTAAATTTAGTTATCAGCTGAGTGGAGTGACTGTTGAGTGTTTTGGTCAGAGTTTCTGAACTGAGAGTTCAATTGCTTCCCCCTGCCTCTGGAAGGAGCTTCCAGAGCATAGGGAGGAAGATTCAAATGATCAGCTGAATATTTATTATACCCTGGTCAATCCCTAAGAGGGGGAATCTAGAAGGTGGCTAGGGAAGTGATAATTAGACAAGAGACCTGAGCAGATTGTTCTTTCATTGTCAGGGAGGGTTCCAGTACTCCTAGGTCTGCTACCCCTGGGAGAAGAAACACTGAGATGACTACAGTTTAGGCCTCAGCGTTTGCTGGGCTGAAGGCCTTAAGAGAATTGCTGGGAAGGCATACCTGCTGAAGGACACTGCTTCAGAGCCCTGGTCTGGTGAAGGATTTTGTTATCTTCCTCAAAAGAGATCTACCTTTGGAGGCTGGGTGGCCGACAGCTCCAAGGACATGGTGAGTGAACATCTACACTAATTTCTCCACTGTATCTATGGTTGTCACCAATGCTTTCCTTAAAGCATATATGACTTTGTTCAACAACACTACATTGGGGATGAGGAGATTAGTAGTTTACAAAAAAAAGATAACATTGTTTCATGTTTTCAGGTCAGCTCACAGGAATTGGAAGGGACTTGGCATTTTTGGCAAGATCAATAGGTATTTTCAGCACTTTCTGAAAATGTTCTTAGCCTTAAAAAAAAAACCCAATGCAACCACTATACCTATGACCCGGTAAGCTGTAATATGGAGCATATTTATTAAGCAGTGAATAGGACATTCACCAGACATTCACTGCAGGTGGAATATTCACAAATTGCACAAAGAAGATTTACCTGCGGTAAATGTTCATCTAAATAGTCACATTGTTCTGGGGTTTAATTATCGTTTATATTTAAAGCTTAATAGATAGATTAGGGTGATCTTGTTACTGTGCCTCCCTCTTAAAGGTAACCTTTCCTGAGAGAAACATGAAGCTTCCCATTGTTGACCTACTGAAAATATTAGGCTAATGAGTTTAATCCACTGGCTTCAATACTTTGGGTTACTGGCCTGGAAACAACCATGTAGATCTAGAAAATTAGAATAAAGTCAGAACTCCTTCTTTCAATACTCATTGCATAATGAGAACAAACCATGAAAGCACAATAATTGTGTACCATTGAAAAGAAGGAAGCTGATTCTACCTATGTAATATACAGTATATTCACACAGATTTTTATTACACAGGCAGGATCAGCTTCTTCGTTTTCCACCACTTTCCCCATAATTATTGTGGCCCTCTTTGGTCCCCTCTTCTGTTCCCAGATGTTTACTGTTTCATCCAGCAGTGGTATTTGAGCCCTCAATAGCTTGTTATGGCAGGTGGGCAGAATTTAGAATTGAAGTGCAGCTATCTCCCTTCTGGAGTATATTAATATCCACAATAATAATAAAACATCATGCTAAATTTACCATGGCTTTTTTCAATAATTATTAGCAGTTTTTAAGCAGACAGCAAAGTTATGAATAAGCACTAAAGTTGGGTGAAATGTGTTAACGTCCTTGGAATCCTGTGTTATCCTGTGTACTGTCATTGTTATTTGGAATAAAGGAATTTCCTTCAATTATCCTGTTGCAGAATGCAGTCATCTCTTGCTCTATCTTTGATCTAGTGCGGTGGCTGAAACCTGTCAATAGGATTAGGCTTGGGATTGGCCTATTTCACTCACCTGGAGCAAAGTTTTGCAATGTTTGTATTAAGACAGCAGCATTGCAAGCTCTAAAATCCTTGCAGTCTTCTTGATTAAGGCCCAATTCACAACTATGCAGATGTGCATGCTGAGGGTGCATGAGCACAGCACAGCCTATTCATGTGAGTGAATGGTCTGGAAGATATATGTGATTGATAAGAATGCAGTAGGTGCAAGCACCCACCGCTTCCTTAGCAACCACTGACAGTAGAAAGTTGTCATGTTCATCCATGCGGAATGTCCTAATTGTTCAGTTTTTTAACAAAACATGCATTCAGACTGAACACTCAGCTGATCCGTAATCATGATACAGAAGGGTGAACAAGTGTTGGTATCCTAGGACAGGAAGTGTACTACTGGCAGAATCACTAGGTTAAAATAAAAATTAAATTAAATTAAATTACCGTATGTTTCGCTCCATAAGACACACCTGACCATAAGATGCACCTAGATTTTAGAGGAGGAAAATAAGAAAAAAAATATTGTGAACCAATGGACTGCAGACATAGTACAGGAGATGATCAGAGACTGCAGATACAGTACAGGAGATGACCAGAGATTGAAGACATAGTACAGGAGATGACCAGAGACTGCGGACATAGTACAGGAGATGACCAGAGATTGCGGACATACTACAGGAGATGACCAGAGACTGTGAACATACTAAAGGAGATGACCAGAGACAGCGGACATACTACAGGAGATGACTGGAGACTGTGGACATACTACAGGAGATGATCAGAGACTGCAGACATACTATAGGAGATGACCGGAGACTGCGGATACAGTACAGGAGATGACCAGGGACTGTGAACATAGTACAGGAGATGACCAGAGACTGCGGACATACTACAGGAGATGACCAGAGACTGCGGACATAGTACAGGAGACAACCAGAGACTGCGGACATACTACAGGAGATGACTAGAGACTGCGGACACAGTACAGGAGATGACTAGAGACTCCGGACACAGTACAGGAGACGGCCAGAGACTGCGGACATACTACAGGAGATGACCAGAGACTGCGGACACAGTACAGGAGACGACCAGAGACTGCGGACACAGTACAGGAGATGACCAGAGACTGCGGACACAGTACAGGAGACAGCCAGAGACTGCGGACATACTACAGGAGATGACCAGAGACTGCAGACACAGTACAGGAGATGACAGAGACTGCGGACATACTACAGGAGATGACCAGAGACTGTGGTCATAGTACAGGAGATGACCAGAGACTGTGGACACAGTACAGGAGATGACCAGAAAATGCGGACATACTACAGGAGATGACCAGAGACTGCAGACACAGTACAGGAGATGACCAGAGACTGCAGACACAGTACAGGAGATGACCAGAGACTGCAGACATAGTACAGGAGATGACCAGAGACTGCGGACATAGTACAGGAGATGACCAGAGACTGCAGACATAGTACAGGAGATGACCAGAGACTGCGGACATACTACTGGAGATGACCAGAGACTGCGGACACAGTACAGGAGATGACCAGAGACTACAGACACAGTACAGGAGATGACCAGAGACTGCAGACATACTATAGGAGATGACCAGAGACTGCGGACACAGTACAGGAGATGACCAGAGATTGTGGACACAGTACAGGAGATGACCAGAGACTGCAGACACAGTATAGGAGATGACCAGAGACTGCGGACACAGTACAGGCGATGACCAGAGACTGCGGACACAGTACAGGAGATGACCAGAGACTGCAGACCTTTGGGGATCGGGGGTGGGTACACGAATTTGACAGGTATCTACTCCCACTTCCGCGGAATTGTCCTTCCCCCCTCCCTCCTCGTAGTCTTGTGGGATATGTGACAGGTCCCAGAAGACTACGGGGCCATTCACAAACCGCAGCACTTCTAGCGCATGTGCAGTGGGCACCCGGCTGTGAAGCTGCAAGCTGTCACAGCCGGGTGCCCACACTGAAGATGCCGGCTCGAGGGAGAGAAGATGGCTGGTGAAAGCAGGACACCACTGGACCAAGGAACAGGTAGGACCGAGGAGTGGACTCTTCTGCACAGTAGAGCCGAGCGGGGCCGGACTGGTATTCTAAAACTGAGGCAGTGGGCATACCGGCTGCTCCATATTCACTCCATAAGACGCACAGACATTTCCCCCCATTTTTGCGGGGTAAAAAAGTGCGTCTTATAGTGCGAAAAATACGGTAAATAACAATGTAGCCATCACATATAAGAACTGGTATGCTACAATAGGTTAAATGTTGGTTTTGGGATTTAGTTATGCTTTAAAACCTCAGGTCCATTTCTTCATTGCGAGATTTCTTGTCACTTCCTATTTCAGGGACTACAATAAAACCAACCCAAAAAAGACAGAAGTCCTAATTTGGACAGATGTCACCAGAACAGGTGACCCTATCTGAAGACTTCCCCTCACCTCCTGTTCCATTGACACCTATCTGTGCCTGTGGCAGCAATTAGAAAGTGGAAGTAAATTTCCAAAAAATCGAAACAAAGGTTCTACCCCTTCCACATTCTAACTGATGTTAGGAAAAAGTTTGGGCTGTTGTTCTGCCTTAACAGAAGCATACACGCACAATGCAAGGGTATACTGCATCTAGGCGAGCCTGATTTATTTGTGCATGGGATGATTTGTAGACATTACATCTCTGTGTTTTAATCTATGGTTGTTAAACACAATTCCACTATTGCTGATTTTCATCCAAAATTCATTTTGACCTCATAAATTTAAAAAATCCTCATTTACAACTCCACAATTCACCTGTTCTGTACACCAAGAAAATTAAGCAAGCCATGTAAAATGTGCTAAATTTGCATGGTAATAGCTTTTTGTCTGGCTGGCTCAGTACTCGCCTCTAATGCGAGATATGATGAATTGTTAATGTCTTCTTGTATTTTGCTGTTTGATAGAGGATGCATCGTAATTCCTAATTTAAAGGACATGAAAGTACAAGCTGTAATACAGAACACCCTACAGACTCATCACCAATTACTGGTGGAAATAAAAAATACAATATCTGTATCTGAAATGACCACATGCCTAATAAATTAGTAAACACAAACCTAATTTCGGGTTACCTTAAAAATAGAATTATTTTTTTGTTGATATTGCGCGCACTTTTTTCTGCGGCACGTTGAGTACATAGTCTGTTCATATTGACATTTGATATTTAACCATTTCAATACCGTGCAATTTTACACCTTCCTGCCCAGGCCATTTTTCACGTTTCAGCGCTCTCACACTTTGAATGACAATTGCGCGGTCATACAACATTGTACCCAAACTAAAATTTTATCATTTTCTTCACACAACTAAAGCTTTCTTTTGGTGGTATTTAATCAGCGCTGGGGTTTTTATTTTTTGCTAAATTAACAAAAAAAGACCAAAAATGTTGAAAAAAAAAAAACACATTTTTCTTTGTTTCTGTTATAAAAGTTTACAAATAAATAATTGTTCTTCATAAATTTAGACCGAGATGTATTCTGCTACATGTCTTTGGTGGAAATAACCCAAATTAGGATGTATTATTTAGTTTGTAGGAAAGTTATAGAGTTCACAAACTATGGTATAGATCTGAAAATTGATCAATCCTGAAGTACTGACAGCCAATCTAATTTCTTGAGGTCCAAGAATGTCAGAATAGTACAGATATCCCCCAAATGACCCCTTTTTGCAGAGTAGACAGTCTGACGTACTTCATAAGAGGCATGGCGAGTTTTTTGAAGTTGTATTTTTTTTTGTCATAATTTTTCGGAAAATGAAAAAATTAAAACAATTATTTTCACTATTTTTTTTTTTTTACATACTGTCACCAGTGCAGTACAGCATCATCATATAACTGGCATGGCGGTGAACAGGGACACTGACTGGTGACAGTATGAAAAAAAATATATTTATATATTTTTTTTATTATTTTTAATTTTTTATTACATCGATTTTTATTTTTTTTAAATTTGTTTTCATATTTTACTGTGACCAAAGTAGTACAATGTTACCATAGTAACATTGTACTACTTTGGGGAAGTGATCAGTATTTTTTTTTTTTTTTTTTTACACAATGTGCTTATAGCAAAGAATTACTTTGCTATAAGCAAGCATTTACCTAAATGACATCGATTCATTCAGGTTTTTTTTTTTTTTTTTTGTGCTTAGCTGTGATTTGGCCACAGCTAATCACATGACATGTGCATGTGACCTGCAGTGACCAATCACAGCAGGTCACATGACAGTTGTATACAATGGATGGCATGAATGAAGCCATCCATTGTATACAACTGTCATGTGACCTGCTGTGATTGGTCACAGCAGGTCACATGGTACCGGCAACGGGGGCCGGTACTCAGATCTGTCATCGGCCATGTCCAAGGTACACGGCCGGTGACAGATCGCGCCGCTGTGCGGCTCTGCAACCGCGCGAACTGCGCATGTGCGGGAGGACACCCTGGAAAGCTAAACCATTTTTTACGGTCCCCCAAACGACTATAGGCCGGGCGGCTAATGGTTAATTTAATCAGACTTTTTTTTTCCAGTTCTAGTAGAATATAAATGTAGCGTAAAATAGAACATTTAATACCATGTTTTCTTTTTATTGGTAGGGAATATAACAAAATGCACAGTCCTATGCTGGCCTATGGCTATTTTTCTGCAAATTCTCTTACGGATGTAATCAGTTGAAAGACTCTAGAAAATGGATCCTTTACCACTGAAGAACTGCCCTCCCACATATATACTACAGGCAGGTGGCCTGTACAGTCACAGCGACATACTTGCACATCGCTGGCTGCTTCTGGGTACAGGGCATGTGTGCCCCCTGCCTGCCAACTCCCACTGTGATTGTACACAGCAGGAATTTGTCAGCAGGTCCAGGCCTATGGTCCATGGCTAGGACCTGCTGATTGGCTGTGTCCAATCACAGCCCAGAGTCCCGTTTTAACAATCATCTGTACACAGGGAAGGATCTCTCTGTCTCTTCGCTCTGCAAAGCAGGGAGAAGAAACAAAGAGATTTTTTGTAAAATGCAGCACATTATATGCACATTAACACATTGTTAGGCACACACATAACACCTTGAGCACCCAAGATGTTAAGCCCTTCCCAGCCACTGTCTTAGTACAGTGACAGTGTAAATGGAGAAACAGAAAAAGGGTGCACTGACCTATTGCATTATCGTTTAACATATTTAGTGAAGAAACAAAGTAAGTATCATACTCACAATAGACATAAAAACACAGGCATGTCAAACTGAACAAGATGTATGATCTAAACAACATCTGAGTCCATACGATGGAACCCTGGATGACCAACTGGCTAACACGTTTCGAGGACACAACCAGAGGCTGGCTCTGAGGAAGAGGTTGTGTCCTCAAAACGAGTTAGTTGGTCATCCAGGGTTCCATCTTATGGACTCAAATGTTGTTTGGATCATACATCTTGTTCAGTTTGACATGCCTGTGTTTTTATGTCTATTGTGAGTATGATACTTACTTTGTTTCTTCAATAAATATTTTAAATGATAATGCACTAGGTCGGTGCGCCCTTTTTCTGTTTCTCCATTTGCATCTAGTTTATTTGGACCACCCTGGTCTGTTGAGGGCAGCAAGCAGTGCATATTCCAGAAAATTCCAGAACATTCCTATTGGGTCTACTGAGTCCTTTTCCTAGCGCAGGAGAAAAAGTGTCTGTTGTGTTGGATTTACAGTGACAGTGTATATTATTATCACTGATCACTGTATTAGTGTCACTGGTGATGTCAGTTTCAGTTAGTTAGTTCCCACCCAGTGTCAGTTAGTGTCAGATTGCTGTCCGCACTATCACAGTTCCATTATAAGTTGCTGATCACCACCATAAATAGTATATATATATATATATAAAAAAAAATATTCCAGTATATATATCATAGTAGTCTGTAGACACTATAGCTTTCACGCAAACCAATCAATATACACATATTGGGATTTTTTTTTACCAAAGACATGTAGCAGAATACATTTTGGCCTAAATTTATGAAGAAATGTGATTGTTTGATTTTTTATATCAGCTATGTTTAAAGCGGAGCTCCACCCAAAAGGGAAAGTTCTGCTTTAAAGACTGGTCCCCCACTCCCCATTAAGGATTGGCACCTTTGGGGAGCGGGGTACCTGAAATTGACAGGTAACCGCTCCCACTTCCTCTGCAGTCGCCTAGGCAATCAGAAGCAGAAGTTGTCCTCCTACCCTCTCTCCCCATAGTCTTCTGGGACATGTGACAGGTCCCAGAATACTACGAGACCATTCAGGTAGCGCAGCGCTACTTGCGCGTGTGAGCATCCGACTGGTGAAATGGGCTGCGGTGGGGACACCGCGGGTTCATGGGACGGGTGAGTGGCTGTTTTTTAAAAGTCAGCAGTTACAGTTTTTGTAGCTGCTGACTGTTATTTTTTCACAGTGCAACTGGAACTTCGCTTTAATGACAGAAAATAGAAAATATAATTTTTTTACATTTTCGGTCTTTTTTCATTTATGTAATAAAAAACTAAAAACCCAGTGAGAAACAAATACCACCAAAGGAAAGCTCTATTTGTGTGAAAAAAATTATATAAATTTCGTTTGGGTACAGCATTGCATGAGCGTTCAATTGCCAGTTAAAGTAGCGCAGTGCTAAATAACAAAAAATGGCCTGGTCACGAAGGCGGAAAAAACCTTCTGGAGGTAAAATGGTTAAGTAGGAGCTACAGTCTGCCCATATAATTTTAAA